ATAGTCTTAAGGCCTTATTTTATTCTATGCACTAGTTTTTCAGTTATTTTCGATTTAATAGATACTAATAAATTTCTGTATTCTAATGCATCATTCAAACAGTTGAAATTTTTTTATTTCTTATAGCTTTCTATAGAATGTAGAATGCTATTCAGCCTGTCCTTTTATGGGCATAAGTGTCCCGTTTTTTACATACAATGCTGAAGGCAAAGCCACAGGTGAAACTAAAGAAGTGAAGGCTTTAGATTTTAAATCTACTGTTAGTGATCAGATAGATACTAATATTGATAGTAAATAATACATATAATTCGATACAAAAGTATATATTTAATATATGAAATATGGATATGTATCAAAGTTTTAGATATTTATTTATCACTTTTTATTTAATATTTTTAAAATAATATTTAATTATTAATATAATGTATTAATATTAATATATGTATTAATATATTATAATAGTATAATATATATATAATTATAATTATATGAATTTAAAATGCTGTTTAGAAAAATAAAATTTTAGCATTTAATACTTTATTTCTCAATAATATTATGAGATTGTGATTATATTTTATTATTTTAGTTTTTTATTTTATATTTTAATTTTTTTAAAATATATAAAAATTTAATATTTAAATATTATATATAAAAATGAACGAGAATTTTTGATACTTTGAATATTTGAATAAAATTGAAATTTCGAAATTGAAAGCGATAAATTATCTTTATATTCATTATCTGAGATTTCCAATAAAAATATTTTCTCAAATAGTCAAATAATATTCAATTGAATGGCAAGTATTGTCTTAATTTTCCAATAATTTTGATATATATCACTGAATAAAATAGATTGAACTTTCTTAATATAAATTTTTGAATTCGTTTTATTGTCTTTTATATTTACTTATGTATAAACATAAAACATAGCATTTTATTTAAAAAAAATATTTTAATCATAAAATTTCTTTTTCGCAAAGTAAAAGTATAAAAAGTATTTATATTTCGCATAAAAAGTATTTATATATTTATACTATATTATATTTCCCTTTATACTAAACATTTATATAACTTTTGTCTAAATATTTTTTTTTTATATTTTTAATTCTTTCTAAGATAATCGTGTCTAGATAAAACAAACATATATTTTATTCTATCCATTAAAAAAAAAAATTTTTTTAAAGTTTTGTTTATGTATTACAGATTTTTATTAACATTAATATTTTCTTATTACAGATTGAAAAAAAATATTTTCGAAAAAAAATAACTAAAAGATTAAAAATGAAGCTACTGTTGCTGCTATTAGCATATATTTGTCTGGTACAATGTGGTCCAGCGAAGAAGCAAGCTCATGATCAAGAAGCTCAAAGTTATGAATACGAATATGCGCATGAACCAGCACTAGCACTTGTTGATTCCGCTGCTTTCGCCAAAACTCCTGTCCTAGCCCCAACATCAGTTTCACACAGTCACGGGATTTCTCATCCAGGTTTCAGTGTAGGTGGTCCTTTGGCCAACATCGCGAAAGGCGCAGCGGAACAAGCGCATACGCAATTGAGCAATCAACATTCCGCAGCCGGACAAGCTGCATTCGTTGCGAAAAATACATTGGCGCAAGCTGCTGCTCAATCCGCAGCAACTGCGGCTGCAGCACTTGCTGGAAAACAGATCGTAGTGCAAGGATTGGAACAACAATCAAAAGACGCTCATGTAGCGGTAGACAGTGAAAATTTACAACTACAACAAGCTGAACGTGCCGCAAGCGCAGCAAGAACTACCGCTAAACAAGCCATGCATCAATTGCAAGTAGCTACAGCAGCTTTGAATGCGGCCCAAGCCACGGCTGATCGTGCAGCACAAGCTGCTGCTGAAGCTGCAGCCGAATTGGCGGCACAAACTACTATGCTTGGTCAAGCGAAAGCAAGAGCGGAATCGGTAGATGAACAACTTTCTGCTGCGCGTCTCGATTACGAAACTACCCAAGCAGCTGCAGAAAAAGCTGCGAATGCAGCCGCGGCTGCGCAAAATAACGCTGCTGCTGCTGCTGCGCATGTGGCTGATAATGCCGCTGCTTCTGCGCTTTTGACTCACGAACCAACAAAGCCTTCATCACTTCCGAAACTTCCTTCTCAACATGGACATGCACCTGCAGTCGCAGAACCTACCCTCGGTCTACCTGCTCTTCGTTCACATGGGTCTCTTCTCGCGTCAGCTGGATTACATCAAACGGATGCTCTTGTATCTACTGGTTATCAAGAAACTATTACTCTTCCAGCATCCGGATTGCTTCACGAGCCGAACGGTCTTCATCGTTCGGAACTTCTTAGTCTAGCTAATGCTTTACCGACTGATAATTATGGTATTAAAGGTTATCGGTACTAGATTCTTTCAAATTGGACGTTTTAGTGGAATCTAGTGTTATTGTTGTCATCGTTCAAGAATAACGAAATATCATGTCAGATTGTAAAATAAATTGTTGAAGTATCAAACGTATTCCGTTTAAATTCTCTGAATTTTCTTCCTTTTTATCAAATATATGATTTTCTTTTATCTTGTTCAAGATAAGTAAAAGAATATAAATATTATTAAACAATTATTACCTCGAATTAAATGTTTATTTTTTTTAAAAAATAAATTTTTCTTATTTTATTTTCATATAGAAGTATATATTAAAAATAAATATTAATATGAAATAAAGTTATATTTGTCAGATATATTAAATATTAAGTATCTTATTTTCGTTCTTTTTTATTTTTGTTTGTATTACTAATTTAGTACTAATAGTATAAAATTTAATAAAAATAAATTTAATAAATCTTTAATAAATTAGAAAAATTATTAATATTGATGGAAAGTAAATTATGATTTTTTTCTATGTTATATTATAAATTTATTTATTTTTTGTTTTTGTCTACTGAATAATTATTTCTTGAAAAAAACTCATTTTTTTTATTAAACATATTAAACATATAATAAAATTTTGCTAAATTTATTATTATTTATCTTGAGTAAAATGTATATAAAATAATATTAAGCACAATAAGTATTTTAAGAAAAATATAAAACTATCTTACAAATATCACTTCTAAGAACAATATTATTAAAATTCTTAATAATTAAAATTATATTGGCTCAATATTTAGATGTATACCTCCTTTTCCTATTAATATGAGGGATCCTTCCTCGAATTCCAAAGAAGATGGTGTATTTGGCCCAAGTTTGAATTTATTCTTTAATAGAGCACTAATTATAGCAATTTTTGTTTGTATCAAACCAAATCGTAATCCTAAAAAAGTCAAATAATATTGTTTTGGTACATTGATTAATTTATAATTTATAATTAATAAATATAATTATAATTAATAATTATAATTTATAATTAATTTCTAATTTTATATCAATATATATAATAATTATAATTTTCTAATTATTTCTATCATGATTTTATTTTATTTTTTTTTATTTTTATTAAAAATTAATGTTCATGTTATTTATTTGTCATTGAAAATATTCTATTCTAACAATAAATAAATTTATACATATATTTATCTATTTAAATTTATTTATTTTATATTTTATTTTTTTAATTAGCAATATTTTCGAAAAAGAAATTAGAATTAAGAGATATGCAAAAATATAAAAAATTGAATTATTATTTAATTTGCTAAAGTATAAATTATTTTCTTATCATAAATTAATATATAGATATATTGTTAAAATAAAATATTCACATATATATAATTTTATGTAAATAAAAATATATTTACCGATACATATTCGTGGTCCTTCACCAAATGGCAAATATACGTAAGAATGCCTAGTTTTTATATTTTCTTCGGAAAATCGTTCTGGATCAAATTTTTCTGGATTAGGAAATATATTAGAATCTCGATGAAGACCAAAAACAGGTATGGCTACGGAAGTTCCTTTCGGTATGCAAAAATTTGTTGTATTCAATTTTATATCGTTTGTACAAATACGATTTAAAATAACAACTGGTGGATATTTTCTTAAAGTTTCTGAAATAAATTAAATTTTATATATAATTTCTACTATTAATACTTTCATAATACTATTAATTTATTATTATTATTAATTTATACTATTAATTATTATGGAATAAATAATATTTATTTATCAATAAAATATAGTAGGAACATTATTTTAAAAGAAATATTCTCATAATATAATTAGCAGAAAGATTAGAAAATTAAGTGATATGTAGAAGTCTAATTATAAATATAATACATTTAGTTTCTTTTTAAGAAATTTCTGTTTAAAAAGAATAAAGAAAAAATGAGAAAGACTATTTTTATGCAATTTCATATATAATTTTTATTCAAATTGTTATTTTATTTATTTTATTTAACATAAATTTATTTATATTAAATAAAATAACAAAAATATATATAAATTTCTTTATACATAATTATTTTCTGTTTTCTGTTATATATATTATA